CATTAAAGGGGGAAAAGACAGTTTCTTTAAAAAATGGTGCTGCATAACTGGATATCCATCTGTAAAAGAATGAAACAAGACTCATACCTCACACCTTGTACAAAAACTAACTCAAAATGGATCAAAGACCTAATTATAAAATCAAATACGATAAAGATTATGGAAGAAAAAATAGAGACAATGCTAGGAGCCCTAACACATGGCATAAAGAGTATACAAACCATAACTAACAATGCATAAACACCAGAAGAGAAACTAGATAATTGGGAGCTCCTAAAAATCAAGCACTTAAGCTCATCAAAACACTTCCCCAAAAGAGTAAAAAGAGAACCTACAGACTGGGAAAAATTTTTTGGCTACGACATATCCGATAATGGTCTAATCTCTAAAATCTAAAAGATACTGCAGCACCTCCACAACAAAAAGACAAATAAACCAATTAAAAAATGGGCAAAGGATATGAACAGCCACTTCACCAAAGAAGACATTCAGGCGGCTAACAGATACATGAGGAAATGCCCACGATCATTAGCCGTTAGAGAAATGCAAATCAAAACTACAATGAGATACCATTTCACCCGAACAACACTGGCACTAATCTAAAAAACACAAAATAATAAATGTTGGAGAGGTTGTGGAGAGACTGGAACACTTATACACTGCTGATGGGAGTGTAAAATGGTACAAACACTTTGGAAAATGATTTGGCGCTTACTTTAAATGTTAGAAATAGAAGTATCATATGATCCAGCAATCCCATTCCTAGAAATATACCCTAGAGAAATAAGAGCTGTCACACGAATAGATATATACACACTCATGTTCATTGCAGCACTGTTCACAATAGGAAAAAGATGGAAATAACCTAGATGCCCATCAACAGACGAATGGATAAACAAATTATGGTACATACACACAATGGAATACTATGTAATAATAAAGAACAATGATGAATCTGTGAAACATCTCACAATATGGATGAATCCGGAGGGCATTATGCTGAGTGAAAGTAGCCAGTCGCAAAAGGACAAATATTGTATGAGACCACTATTATAAAAACTCAAGACAAGGTTTAAACACAGAAGAAAGTATTCTTTGATGGTTACAAGGGTGAGGAGGGGAATTCACTAACTAGATAGTAGATAAGAATCATCTTTGGTGAAGGGAAGGACAACACACAATACAGGGGAAGTCAGCACAACTGGACCAAAGCAAAAGCTAGGAAGTTTCCTGAACACAACCAAACACTTTGAGGAACAGAGTAGCTGGGGCTGGGGCCTGGGGACTATAGTTTCAGGGAGACTTCTCGGTCAACTGGTATAACAAAGTTTATTAAGAAAATGTTCCGCATCCCACTTTGGTGAGTGGCATCTGGGGCCTTAAAAGCTTGTGAGCAGCCATCTAAGATTCATCAATTGGTCCCAACCTACTTGGAGCAAAGGAGAATGAAGAACACCAAAGACACAAGGAAAACATTAGCCCAAGAGACAAAAGGGCCACATAACCCAGAGACTCCACCAGCCTGAGACCAGAAGAACTAGATAGTGACTGCCCTGACAGGGTACACAACAGAGACTCCCAGATGGAGCAGGAGAAAAATGCCGAGAACTCAAATTCACGTAAAAACAACAAACTTAATGGTCTGACAGAGACTGGAGAAACCCCAGAAACTATGGCCCACAGAGGCTCTGTTAACCCAAAACTAAAACCATTCCCAAAGCTCACTCTTCAGACAAAGATTGGACTGCACTGTAAAACATAAAATAATACTCATCAAGAGGGTCCTTCTTAGTCCAACAAGACATACAAGACTAAATGAGCAGCTCCTGTCCAGAGGCAGTACGAGAAGGAAGGAAGGGACAGGAACTGGTTGAATGGACACAAGAAACTCGGGGTGGAAAGGTGGAGTGCGCTGTCACATTGGAGGGATTGCAACTAATGTCACAGAACAATATGTGTATAAATTTTTGTATGAGAAATTAACTTGAGCTGTAAACTTGCACCTAAAGTACAATTAAAAAAAAGTGAAGAGACAATCTATAGAACAGGAGAAAATATTTGGGAATCATATACGATACGGGTTTAATATCCAGGATATATAAAGAACTCCTACCACTCAACAGCATAAAGACAAATCATTTTAGAAATGGACGCAAACCTTAAATATACATTTCACCAAAGATACACAAATAGCCAATAAGCACATGAAAAGATGCTCAATGTCATTAGTCATTAGGGAAATGCAAATCAAAACCACAATGAAATACCACTTCACCCCTACCAGGATGGCTATTATCAAAAAGACAGAAACCAAGAGTTAGGGAGAATGTGGAGAAATTGTTGGTGGGATTGTAAAATGGTACAGCTTCCATGGAAAACAGTTTGGTGGTTCTTCAAAAAGTTAAACATACAATTACCATATGACTCAAACTTCTATTCCAAGGTATATACCCAAAAGGCTTGAAAGCAGAGATGCAAACAGGTACTTTTACACCAATGTTCACTGCAACACTATTGATAAATAGCCCAAAAGTGGAAAGAATGTAAATGTCTATCAACAGATGCACAGATAAAACGTAGGACATCTATATCAGACCCATCGCCATTCAGTCTATTCTGAGTCATAGGGACCCTACAGGACACAGTAGGTAGAAATGCCCCATTGTGTTTCCAAGGCTGTAATCTTTATGGAAGCTGACTGCCACATCTTTCTCCTGCAGAGTGGCCAGTGGGTTACAACTACCAACATTTTGGTTAGCAGTCGAGCACTCAACCACTGTGCCACTAGGGCTCTTATTATTTAGTCATAAAAAGAAATAAAGTACTCATAAATGCTGCTACATAGATGAACATTGAAAATACTATGTTAACCAGAATGGAGACACGAGAAGAGTATATCCAGTGTCACTGAACATTTACGTAGAAATTGTAAAATGGGGACCTATTTTGTCCTGTAAACTTTCACTGAAAATAAGTTATTATTAAAAAAAAAAAAAATCGCACGAATAAGTTAGACACAAAAGGACAAATATTGTACGATTCCACTTAGATGAAATATCTAAAATAGACAAATGTATAGCAACCAAAGTTTATTACTGATTACAGGAGCGGATGAGAGGAGAAAGGTGAAATTCATGCTTAAGAGGTGCTGAGTCTCTGCTAAGGGTGATAGAAAAACTTGGAAGCTGGTAGTGATGATGACTGCACAACCTCCTGAAAGTAATTAATGATATTGAACTGTGTATGTAAAAATGGTTGAAACAGTAAAAGATTGTGTTATATAACAGATAGATAAAATCACACTTGTGGAACTACAATGTGTAAAGAATGGACCTTTTGAGATAAATGGCTCTGGATCACCTGGTTATTAATATGGAAAAATAATAATAACAGGACTACTTCCGTTAAAAAAATCTGGTGAATTATAACTCTAAGTAGTAAATAATAATAATAATAATGCTAGTGACACTGGCATTAGCAATGATTTCACAAACAGAACACAAATTTAGAGACTTTAAATTTTTGAAATGATATATATGCAGCTGCTGCTAAACTCTTCAGTATTTTTTTTTCTATCTTTTGTTCTATGTAAAATATCCTTTTGTTGCTCTTAGAGTCGATACGTTTGATACACGCATATCACCTTCATTCTACATTACTTCATTTGGTTGAAAAAAAATTCTCTAGTCATATTAAAAATGCTGCACACATTATTTACTCATCAACGTCTGCTTCTTCATGTTCCAAATTATTTATTATAAATCTTGACTTCTAACAGTTGCAGATTTCACATTTATTTAAGCAAGACTACTTTGTAAAATAATTACTAGAAAAGATGAGGTACTTTGTGCAATATTGTAGAAATGTCATCAATTCTTCCTCGGCTGACCTTCTAGAGTTTGCTCAAGTATTTTTGATTAGTTTCATTACACATGCCCTCATTCTCAATATTTGCTGCTGACATTGGGAATATGCACAGCTCTTGCTGTAAGAAGCCGTTAACCTATTAAAAAGTGTGTAGCGGAAATTGTGGTTGAATCACCAGCGTCCAACAAAGATTCTGCCTCGGCCAAACCTTAAGATTGTGGAGACACACTGGGTGTGTGATCTCTACAAACTGCTCACTGCTATATTGTTTGTTCAGCTACATCACATCTTACTTTTGATGAACTAGCATTGGCCATACTCTCATGCAATCATGACGAAAATGTCTGCTTTACAGCCAAAGAAATGTGCTTCTTACTAAATATTTTCCTCCTAAAATTGGGATAAATGTGGTCCTAAATCGGCTGCAAAGACCTCTCTAAAGTGTTAAAAGCAAAGATGTCACCTTGAGGACTAACGTGCGCCTGACCCAAGCCATGGTGTTTTCAATCGCCTCATATGCATGCGAAAGCTGGACAACGAATAAGGAAGGACGAAGAAGATTGATGCCTTTGAATTACGGGGGCCGATTGGAGGAGGTAGGAGCAGGGCGTTTAGATTCAGGCTAATTACCCTGAGTTCCCATGAGGCCCGAGAATCTGCAGTTCTCACAAACTCCCAGGTGTAGGGGACGCTGCTAGTCTGGGAACCACACTGTTAGTTAACGAGGATATACACGGTATTACCTGTCAATGCACCGAGAGCCCCATGTCTAGCCCACCAACTCGGTCTTCCAGAGCACGGCACGCAGAAAGCAGCTGCGCACCAGGCGGACAGGTGCCGGGTGGGCCGGACTCTCGGAGAAGGCGGCAGCAGGAATGCGGAGGCGGCAGCGACAGGGAAGCGGCGGCAGCGGCAGCGGCAACGACAAGAAAGCGGCAGCAGTGGCGGCGGCGGCAGCAGCACCCCAGGAAAGCGGCCAGGTGGCAGGACAGCGGCGGCGGTGACGGTAGGCTCCGGGCATAGCCCGGCTAGAGGAAGTCAGGACTGCGCAGAAGAGCAAGAGCAGCGCCCTTAGCCCCGCGGGCTGCACCTAATACCTGACTAGGCCAGATTGCGACAGACGCAAAACCTACCTCACACAGGAGCAGAAGCGGGAGCAAACAAGTCTGCTGGGGTGGACATGCACTTCCGCTTCCAGTTTCTGGCACTCTGTGTGAACGAGAGGGGTTCCCTGTGTGGACCAAGAGGCGCCACCCGGTGACCACGGAGGTTCAGTGACTTTCTCTGGAATTTGAGATCTGTCCAGGTTGTGTTTATTTCCTTTGTGTTATCCCTTTTGTTAGTATTGGCATAAATGTTTTGCCAGCCACTTTTTACGCCTCTGTACGTTATTCCAGTACTAACACATTTAGCGTCAAGATGGGTCCCTTTTGAAATGGGTGAAGCTCTGCAGACATGAGTTGGAGCCTCACTGTTGTGTAGGCTGAGCATTCTATTAGATGATACTTCCTGGATGTGTTAGTTTTGTAAACGTTTGCCCTTTTTTAAAATCTTTTATTTGTGTGAGATAAGGCTTGCAAGCACAGTCATGGCTTCCTGTGTGGTAGGAGGCCCTGGTGGGTTTGTTTTCGTTTTCCTGTGTCATATTCGGAAAACCAGAGGTTCACCATGTAACCTAATGGAAAGGCACCTGCAATAAATTATCTATGTAGTTCTTATTGGTATATTGTCACACCACAGATCGGTGGCACCACAGTGCCACTAGTCTCAGAGGTAGTGTATTGCCAGATCGTATTTCTCAAATCCATACTCCCAACGAAAAATTTAAAGATACTCAACTAGTAAGCATGCATTTCAATACTGAAATAACATACCATCAAAAAATTTTTTAAAAATTAAAACTTGGTGACCAAAGTGTTAGAGAAAAGCCTAGATTTTCTTAACTGTGTTTGTTGTTGTGATTAGGTGCCCTCGAGTCAGTTCCAACTCATAGTGACCCTATGTACAACAGAATGAAACACTTCCCGGGCCTGCACCATCCTCACAATCATTGCTGTGTTTGAGCACATCGTTGCAATCATTGTGTCAGTCCTCTCATTGAGGATCTTCCTCTTTTTGGTGATCCTCTACTTTAGGAAGCATGATGTCCTTCTCTAGGGACTGGTCCACCTTCATAACATGTCCAAAGTACATGAGATGAAGTCTTGCCATCCTTGCTTCTAAGGAGCATTACGTCTGTACTTCTTCCAAGACAGATTTGTTCATTCTTCTGGAAGTCCATGGTATATTCGATATTCTTCTCCATCACCATAATTCAAATGCATCGATTCTTTCTCAGTCTTCCTTATTCATTGTCAAGCTCTCGTGAGCATATGAGAAGACTGAAAATACCATGGCTTGGGTCATGGGCACCTTAGTCCTCAACATGACATCTTTGCTTTTTAACACTTTAAAGAGATTTTTTGTAGCAGATTTGCTCAGTGCAATGCTTCATTTGATTTCTTGACTGCTGCTTCCATGGATGTTGATTGAGGATCCAAGTAAAATAAAATACTTGACAACTTCAACCTTTTCCCCATTTATCATGATGTTGCTTATTGGTCCAGTTGTGAGGATTTTTGTTTTCTTTCTGTTAAGGTATAATCCATACTGAAGACCGTGGTATTTGATCTTCATCAGGAAGTACTTCAAGTCATCTGCAATTTCAGCAAGCAAGGTTGTGTCATCTACCTATCACAGGTTGTTAATGACTCTTCCTTAAGTTTGTATATAAGGTTAAATGCAGATGTCAGTAGTCAAGGATTACTAATACCCTTATGGGGGAAGATAACGTTGGTGTTTCCACATTTGATCATTTGAAAATTTTACCCTGTTCTTTAGAGAAATGATTTGCTCCCCATAAATATTTGGCCATCTTTAGAATTCATGAAGTCTCTAGTTTACTTCAGTTTCATGACTTGTCATCTCTTGCATATCAGTTATCTTACCTTAGAAGCAGGTCATGGACTGTCAAAACCCAGTCTTGTCTCTTGAACAGCTGAGGACCATTGAGGGAGGAGTTTTCAAGAATAAGAGGCAGTAACATACCAGTCCTCCTGAGGACATTAGGTAAAAGGTAGTGTAACTTTGGAAATGACAGTTATACTCAGTTTTTACATTTTTCTTGAGTTTACACAGGTAAAGTGTATAGCGTGTACTAGTCATAAGTGTACAGTGTGATGAATTTTTACATCTGTATATACACTTTTATAACCTCCTCTGACATCAAGTTAGGGAAGTTTCCTAGCACCCTATTAGATTCCCTTTACCCTTTTCCCAGTTTGATACTCACCCCAGTAGTAACAATTGTTCTCATTGTAATCACCAGAGATAAGTTTTTTCCATTCTTGGACTTCCTATAAACCTAATCATACTGTATGAAGTATACTATATTTGACTTCATCTAGTCAACATAATGTCAGTGAGATTTGATCTATGTTGTTACATAAAGTCATACTTTATTCTTTTTTTTTGTCACTGTGTAGTATTGCAATGGATGAATATACCACAATTTTTCTATTTATTTCATCATTCATTTTATTCTGCTGTTAAGGTTTGTATCATAACCACCAATATGGTCTATCTTCCTGAATTTTTAATGGTAACTTAGTTATAATATGCCTTCAACTGTTGTTGGGTGAAGTGTTCAATCAGTATCACTTAGGTCAAGATGGTTGATAATGTTGTTTAGCTCTTCTATATGCTCACTGACTTCCACAGCCTTATCATTTTTTCTATTTCATATTTCAGTCCTGTCAGTTTTTCCTTCATATATGTTGAAATTCTGTTATTAGGTGTATACACATTGCAGATTGTTACATCTTCTCATTGAATTCCCCTTTTATGGTTATTGAATGTCCCTCTTTTTCCCTGATAATTTTCACTGTAGCCTTCTGCCCTTGATAATTATAATGGTCTTTGTCTGATGGTGAGAAGCTTTGTTTGCATTATTTGCAATTTATGTATTTGTTCAACCCTAGTTAAAATATAGCTTCAGAATTGCTAACCAATACCATTCTGAGAAACAGATTTAACAACTAATGCAGTAGCTCTTTACAGCTCTCTTTATAATTAGCCTTAGTTGCCAAAAAAAAAAAAAAAAAAAAACATGATCTCCAAAGTTCTTCAGGTCATCTCCTTTTTTTTCTAACCACTGTCAAGGAGATTATGCCATACATTTCTAATAAAATAAAATGAAACCATGCATTATTTCCCACTTTTATCTGGCTATTTTACTTACAAAAGAGCATTTAATATTTATTCATCTTCTAGTGTGAATCAACAGAAAGTTCTGTTTATTGCTGAGTAGTAATTCCATTCTATTGATGTACCAAAGTTGGTTACTCCATTCACCTGTTGAAGACCATCTTGGTTGTTTCCAGGTTTTGGTGATGATGAATAGAGCTGTTATAAAAATTACGTATGTGATTTTGTGTAAACACAAATTTTCAGTTCACCTGGATAAATACTAGGCGTGGGATCACTGTGTTGTCTGGCAAGTGTTTCTTTAATTTTACGAGAAATGGCCAGTTTCCAAAGTGGCTGTACTGTTTGGCAAAGGCAATTGAATACACCATCGACTGCCAGAAGAGTGAGCAAATCTGTGTTGAAGAAAGTACAGCCAGAATGCTCCTTAGAAAGTGAGGATGATGAGTCTTTGTCTCACTTACTTTCTACATGTTATCAGAAGGGACCAGTCCCTGGAGAAGGACATCAGGCTTGGTAAAGGGTCAGAAAAAAGAGGAAGATCCTCAGAGTGCTAAATTGACACAGTGGCTGCAACAATGGGCTCAAACACAGTGATGATTTTGAGGATAGCGCAGGACCAGGAAGTGTTTTGTTCCATTGTACATAAAGTCTCTATTAGTCACAACCAACTCAATCGCACATAACAACGACAACAAAAATTCATCATGCTGTTTACTTAATTGTTGTTGTGTGAAGTTAAGTCAATTCAGACTCACGGCAACCCCATGTGTTACAGAGTATACTGCTCCATCGGGTTTTCTTGGCTGTAATCTTTACTGAAGCAGATCTCCAGAACTTTTCTTCCAGGGTACCGCTGAGTGGGTTCCAGCCACCAACTTTAGTTTACCAGCCAAGTACAAAGTATTTGCACCACCAAGGGACCTTACACTTAAGATTAGCACACTCTATACACCTTATTGAATTGCATTTTGATGATGCAATCTACTTACTGAAGTATGGAAACTTGATGCCCATGTAAGGGTCTTTATTCCTTGGGTGAAGGATGGGTTGAATGTTCTGTTATTTTCTTGAATCATCTTTGATGGTTTTCTCTATTTCTCAAGATTTCTTCCCTTAGTCTGACCTCTGCTCTGTCTTGCCATTCTCACCTCTTTATCATTTCTTATCATTTCACTGGAGGCATGCTTAATCTCTTTTTCACATTAAAACCAGTGTAATTTAAATGTTATCCACAGAAAAATATATTATAAATATTTTGATGGATGCATTTTCACAAACTGAATATACCTATATAAGTAGCATGCTAGAAACTCCCTCAGTTGTGCAACCTTCTAGACAACCCCTACCCAGAGTAACCACTATCCTGACTCTAATACCATAGATTAGTTTAGATTATATTTGTACTTTATATTAAAATATATATATATTATTTTGTGTTTGGCTTATTTTACTGAGTTTATTCATTTTGTTGGATTTTGTAGATAAACCATTCTCATTGGTGTACAGTATTCCATTCTGTGAATACACCTCAAGTTATACATCCCATTTACTGTAGATAGGAATTTGTGCTGCTAACCGAAAGGTTGGTGGTTCAAACTCACCCAGCTGCTCCACAGGAGAAAGACCTAGCAATCTGCTTCTGTAAAGATTACGGCCTAGAAAATGTTATGGGGCAGTTCCACTCTGTCTCATGGGGTAACTAGAACAGGGAAGGGAAGTCTGCATCATGACAGAGCTACAGAGAAGGGGCTCCATCTTTGTCCCTAGAACCACTATTACCCAGACTTCTCCAGGTCAGGATCAGGAATTCAGCCCCTCCTCCCATCCCAGGAGTCCTCATAGCTGGACTTGACCCCACACTCCTGTGGATCCCCTGCCTGCCCTGTGCCTCTCCCCATGGTGCTGTGTCCCTCAGACAAAGAGTCCTT